ATAATAATAATAGTAACGATATATAAAAATAACGAAAAATAAAAACAGAAAAAACCAAACAATTACAATCATTTTTTTGCTTACTACAATTATGTATATAGATTTAAAATGAGGAGTCAAACGACGCCTTTTTAAAATTTGACTAATTAACTAAAATTTAAGGCCCTCGATAAAATTTACCAATATAAAACCACACTTTATTAATTAAAATGAGCGAAAAAAATATAAAGGCCAAGGAGCCACTCCATATCAAACAAAAGAAAAAAACTAACCCAAGAGCGCTTGGATTACATGACTTGGGTCTCTTCTAGCTTAATCAGTGGTCTCGTGTTCGAGCCCTAAGAGCACCCACAATGCTTTGGGTCTCTTAGAAAAAAGTTACATGCCATGTAAGAAATAGACCTAGTCTATAAAAAAGTGTTCTCCAATGCAATTAAATGTAGACCTAGTCTAGCTTATGTGGCAATAAAAAAATGAGACCTAGTCCACACTTGGGTCTATTTTAGACCCAAGTACAAACCCAAACATTCATCATTTATTCCTCATTTAGTTTTTCTTTTAATAAATGAAATATATTAGAGCATTTTTATTGGTTGTCATGTATTCTAGACCTAGTACTTTTTTGTTTTGCATTGGATAGATTTTGGATTTTTTAGTTTGGGTTGGTCCATGTCATTATGGACTTAAGTCTATTTATTTGCCACATATGCAAAAAGAGACTCAAAGCATTGTGGATGCTCTAAGAATGCAGCAGTGTTAAAACTCTTGAGGGAGAGCTTTGCCACCCTTGTGGTCCTACCCGGCTCGATTCCGAATTAGTCGGTTCCCCTGTGGATTCAAAAAACCGGAAGGTCCCTGTACAGGCTGTACTAAAAAAAAAAGAAAGAAAAAACCTAAAAAATGGTGATATTAGTTACGGCCTAAGGCCAGAAAATGCTATGGTCCCGTTACGGAACAATTATATCTAGATTTGTAACGTTGGATCATCATATAACCGTCGTGGATAATTGATTTGACGGTTACAAACCTCGACGGAATGATTCTATAATGGACCGTAGCATCTCCCGTGAGTTACCCAAGTTAATATTGAGGCTGACCATGAAAACATGTGAAAAAACATTCCGCGATCTCTTCCTCCTTTGTAATTTACGGACAAAACAACACCAAATATAGCATGAAATATTGTCCGAACATACAACACAATTTCCGGCCAAGCCTACACTCCCTTGTCCCTACAAATATCCTAAATTCCTCTCTCTAACAAATACCATTCTTTTTGTTATTGCAGCTTCCTCTCTGAGTAAATAAATAAAATAGAGAAAGTGCTGCAACCAACCAACCAACCAAGAAAATAAAACAAAAAATGGCACGCCAAGTGATTGCTGTTGCTCTCATCTTGATCGCCGTGTTTGCGGCGGTGGCTTCCGCCCAATCCTCACCGAGCAGCTCCCCATCGTCAGCGCCGGTCTCCCCTAAGGCAGCGGCTCCCACCACCCCATCGAAGCCGAGTGCCGCCCCAGAGGAAGAGCCCTCATCACCTCCCGTCCTCACTGAGGCAGCCACTCCATCTAGTGCTCCCGCCGCCGCCACCGGCGAGGCACCCAGCCCGACCGAAATTGCCGACACGCCCACTGCCGGTGCCACGTCCCTGAAGATTTCCACCGCCGTTGGTGCCGCTGCGGCTGCCGGATACTTTTTCATCTAAATCTTGAATTATTCATTTTTCTTTTCAACATATATGGTGTTAATTTGTAAGAGCATCTGCATGAGCGTTAGTTTGGTCCATTTAAACAAAAGGTGCTACGTCAATACCACTGCAGTACATCCATTTGAAAGACTAATGTGGGCTCCATTTATGCAACTCGATTCGTTGAACCACACTTAACAAAGAATTGGTAAGTCATGCTCATTTTAAATTATTTTTAAATAAATAAAATATATAAAAATATTAAATAAATATATAAATAGTTTCATATATAATATATTTAAATGACACAACTAATGTAAAAGAATGTTTAATAAAAATGCTGAAATGAAAATGATGTGGATGATAGATAGTGTAGCTTTTGTCAAATTAATGATATCGATATAGATGCCCCTAATGACGTATGACTTATACTGGTAAAAAGTTAAAATTGATTAAAATAAGTTTTTTATTAGATCAGTTTTTTTTACTCATTTCATTCAAAATCTAATTCAATCGTACTCTATATTGATATTATTAATATAATTAAATAATATCAAATACTATCACCTATATTACATTAACTTTATTTACTATTCATACATTCATTTTTTTTTAACAAACTATCACTTTCATTATTTTTTTACTACTTTTCCATCACATCAACTTGAATCATCAATTTCTAAATAATATTTAATATAATCTCTCTAGTTTCACCCAATCAACTTTATTTAAAATTAATATCTCACTTTAACTTATGATCTATCAAAATCGATTTTAATGGTTATAACTCCTCAAAAATTGCTCCTTTATTTATTTATTTATTTATTTTTTTTCAATTACAAATTGCTCCTTTAGGTGTTCTCATTGTTAGATGATTAATTGAAATTAAAGTTTTTCAATCGAGTGACGCTGCTTTTCTTTGGCCATGTCCATTTGTTTCATTGATTTCACTTGAACATGTTGATCTATAATTTACTTCACCGTCTACAAATAATATATTAAATTTGAAAACTATGTGCCACATTTTCCTTCTCTGTTCGAAAAATGTTGGTCTTCTCGATTTTTACCTCAGATGTTCTTAGTAGAAATAATTAATAAAAAAAAAAAAAACATTTCTATGCAGCTTGAGCTAGAAAAATAAAGTGTCGCGTAAGTAGAAAATAACTAAGATGGACTAAATAAATGACCATTATTAATAAGTTTACTTTTTTATCCCTAAGTACGAAAAAAATTACACGATATGCAATGCGGCAGACATGCGGAGATAATAGATAAAGTGCGAATATCCAGGCGATAAACTACGCGACAAATATTAATTATCAAAGTGTGAAATAATTATGCGATAAACTATGTAACGGACAGACTATAAGATAATTGAGTAAGTGTGTTCTCATTATGCAAACGGTGCGACAGAAACTCAGAGTTAATTGAGCAAGTGCGAAATAATTATATGATTAACTATGTGACTGGAAGGCGAAAATAATTAGGTAAGTGTAAATTACTTATGCGATAAACTATGTGAAAGACACAGATAAATGAGCAAAGTAAAAAACACATATGTGATAAACGATAGAAAGACAAAGTTAATTGAGAACGTGCAAAATAAATATGCGATGCACTATACGATAGAAAGACGAAGTTATCTGAACAATTTAGAAATAAATATTATATAAACATTGCGAACAGACGGAGATGATTGAGCAAGTGCGATTATGCAATAAACCATGTGAAAGATAGACGAAGTTAATTGAGAAAGTGAGAAATAAATTGCGATAAGTTATACGAAAGAAAGCAAAGATAATGGAGTAAGTGCATAAACATTATGCAAAAAAACTATATGACAGATAGACAACGAATATGCAGATACCTGTGTAAACAGTTCCGTCGATCGCGGATTTATCGCATTTTTGTCTTATATCAGTTTTATTTTAAAAAATAATTTATTTAATTATTAAAATATGCGATTGTTAGGTGAATTTTTATATGCATAACTAATCGCGGATCAATATATTTGAAATTAATTTTGGGTAACTTTGTAAGCTGCAATTTTTACTCGACAATTGTTCTGCTGCATATTTGCCACATAGTTATTATATAGTAAAAAAACAAAGAAACAATCGTGGAAACGTTTTTTAGATACGCTAGACAAACTGCCAAAGAGATACGAATATTGAATCAAAGAATCATTATATTTATTTATTTATTAAAATGAGTTAAACTATGATGTGCATAACCATTTTTTTTTCTATTAAGATGCATTAAACTGCGTCACTGCAACAACCTTCATGAAATCCCTTTAAGACGTATAGACCTTCTTCTCAGTGATGCACCTCAAATGTGGTCCCGAATATGACCTCTTATAGAGCACTTCTTCTTACTCAAAGAATTTTTATATGTACTTTAAATTTCCTTCTTTCAGCTCGCGTTATATCGATGCTCTCAAGTTCTCGACCTCATTGATTTCATCCATCTCGACTATTTCCATGTGTAATGAAGTTACGCTTTTACTTTTGTAAGCGACCAAATTCTACGCAATTTTTGACAACAAATCTTCTCGACCATAGTCTCACCTCAGAATTTGAATCACCTCGAATGAACAGTTGGGCGGACCCAAATTGGGACGAGTGTGGGCCTAGGTGCGCACTCAAATTCTCGGATGAATAGTGTTTATAAGGGGAAAGAATGCTTCCATGTAGAGACGGAATTGTCTCCCAATCTACAGAAGTTAATATAATTGTATTTATTACAACAACCATTTATTTATAATCCTTATTTTTTCTTTTTTTTTGTTCTTGTTTTTAATCCTTATTTACCTGTTTCGTAATGCACGTCATTTTTTTTTCTTTCTTTTCCATGTTATTCTATTATTTATTTTTCATGTAATTTTTATCGTTTTAGTCTTTTTTAACTCAACAAAATTATCTAGTAGTAGTGCTAAAAAAATATATTACACAGATGTTGATTGAAATTATATACTTAAAACATTAACAATGAAGATTACTTATTTAAAGTTTTATATACTTTACTTAAATATATTTTTTTTTATATTTTATCTAAATTCACCTAAACTATTTCGAAACACTAGAACTTTACACATATAATTATGAATTACAAAAAAATCTACACATACGATTATTAAGCACCAGAAGTTAACATGTCGATTGAGAAATCTTTGCATTTTTATATTAGAGAGTTTATAATTTTTTTAATAATTCATTTTAAAATTTGATATTGTATTCCACTTACTAATTGTTGTTCATATCTAGGAACATAATTATTACATTTTTTTCTAATATATTAATTCACTGTATCTAAATTGCCTATGGGAGATCATTATCAGGATTATCTTGAAATACACGTCAATACATTAATAAATTTTAAGTTTTGATGACTTTAGCAAAAAAAATATTTTGGAGGATAATTATTTTTTCAGCAATCAATAAATATTGTTTTGAAATGAACATGGTTGACAAATGAAAGGACAAATGGTCATAATAGCATTTTCATTTGAAATTTTATTAACTCCTTAATAGATTTTGACCCACACTCAACAAATTTTCTAGATCCCCTCTTGAATGAACTGATCTCCCTTTGCAAAGCTTGAACTTCATCGACGTACCTTTTTAATCTATCTTCATTAATCTCAAAATCACCCTACAACTACCCCACTACCAGCTGAGATTCTAAGTGAATTTGAACTCGCAAGCTCCTCTAGCTATGGCCAACTACTATCTTTTGGTAGTGCCTCATATTTGGTCTCATTGTTTGGCACTCATTAGCCAGCCTTGTCGCAAACTCCAAGTTATCTCCATATGACGAGATCAGGACGATTCTCAACCCCGCTCCAGGTTTTGAAACTGACCAGTCCACAAACATTTGCCATTTACCTTCGGCTTCGAGCTCAACACATGTTTCCTCTTGAATAAAATTAGCTAGAACATGTGCCTTAATCGCTCTTTGAGGTTCATATTCGATAAAATACTCACTTAGCTCGATAGCCCACTTCACCATTTGCCTGAAATAGATGATTGCCCATGTTTCTCACCTAAAGGTAAAAATACGAGCTCAACTTTCAAACAGTGATGACCACTGCACTTTGTAGGTTAGAAAATACGAGCTTAACTTTCAAACAGTGAATACCACTAAAAGTGCACCCTTTCGATCTTTGAATACCTTAGCTCGGCCCCTTGCATAACTCGACTAACATAATAAATCAGAAGCTATGCATGTCCTTCATCCCTCAAGAACACCAAGCCCACTAATGTCGTTCCAATCGCAATATACAACACCAGGTCTTCACTCTGAAAAGGTTTGGCTATTAATGGTGTTGATGCTCGAAAATGTCAGCACCATGGGGTGAACTGTACACTAAATCTCTTACTTCGTTCAATCTGCACGAATAGATTTGTTCCGAAAATAAGGGTTGAATCCCTCTTCCATTCGTGCCTTTTTATATGTATCTTTTGTGAGATAAATACATGAATTAAACCAGCAAAAAGCAAAAAGATGAAGATAAAGTTTATTTTTTATTGATATCCTTGGGAGTAGAATGTCCTCCCTCCTCTTACGAGGTCTCTCTCTTTTGTAATCTCCTTTTTAGGAGATTTTATTTGGATAAGGTTAGATTCTCTTGGATCCTCTTGGATCCTCAAGTACACATCACATCACAATATATGGACATCAATAAATATGGAATAGAATAATATAAATGATATTTTAATGTATTGTATTTTTATTTAGTCGTAGCCAAATTGGGTACCAACAAGAGGCCCCCGAGTTTAGGACATGTTCTGGATGGAATTGTTCTGAAGTCGTGTTTTTATACGATTTGGCAGATTTTACATGTAAGTTTTTTGAGCTTGGGGCTCTTTACGCTATGATAAATGATGCTTGTTGAATGGATACGTGTTGGTATGCGATTTCTGGGTGCTTTGAGACCCATGTATGCTTTGTCGATTGGTTTCAGGCTTTGGCCTGATGAATTCGCGTTAGTCGTGCACTTCTACGCTTGACGAGCA